GAATCCACTGATACATTTTTCTTGAATTCTGAACGTATCTTTTACTTATGTATGATTTTACATTATTCATTTATAAAATATTGGTTCACAGATCTTCCAAAATTGACACATTTCATTATAAAACATTTGTTATTACCATCTTGGCTTGCATCTGAAGAGTATTTAAATTGGGAAGCTCTTAAGTTCATGCAACATGCCACAAGTGCTAAAAAAAACTTTGGTGATTTAAAGAACTATAGAAATGCAATGCATTATTACTGTGCTGGTGTCTGATGTCTATTAAGGCTAATGTACTAGGTGTGAACAATACTAATAGGAATAAAGATCTTCATAACATATAATCTAATCTTGAAGTTATATGTCTGTGATCTGCTTCAAAATAATCCAGAGGAGAAATAAAGGTCAGTATGTCAGTATACATATAACAAGATTAGCAACCAGCTGATACACATTCCTGTTAGTGCCGCATCATGCGTTACATGTAGGTTAACTTATTATTTACTTGTATACATGTTTAAAATTGATCATAGTAAAAGCTAATACATAATTTAAATCCTGACATGGAGCCCATACATTTATGGTTCTGGGCCCTACTACAAGTAATTAAACACCATATTATACATTTAATTTGATGGGTTAGAGAACCAAAGAGATCCATCTTACGATTATCATGAATTGTAGAGGAGTACTTAACACCTTGATTTCTCATTTCTTCCCAGATAGAAATTTTCCTTCACAAACTAATAAGCTTTGTCCCTTACTTTTAGTCAGAACTCAGGTACATGAAAAAATATCCTGTCATAGGGGCCAGTGATGTGGCATAGTGTGTAAAGCTGGCACCTGCAATGCCGGAATCCCATGAGGGTACCCTTTGGGTTCGGGCTGCTTCACTTCCAATCCAGCTCCCTGCTGATGGCCTGGGAAAGGCAGCGGAGGATGACCCAGGTGCTTGTGCCCCTGCAAATCCACATGGGACACCTGGGAGAGTCCTGGCTTTGACCTGACACAGTCCCCGTCCTTGTGGCCATCTGCGGAGTGAACCATGGATACAAGATCACTCTTTGTCTCTCCCTCTCTCCCTAACTTTCAAATAAATAAATCATAAACTTAAAAAACCCCATTATACTATCTGTAGTTTACAAAGCTCTCTTATCATACACTCAAATTTTTTCCGGTATAATGAATTTAATTACAAATTTTAACACAACACTGAAATCCAGAAATGTTCAAAAGTTCAAAAGTGTTATATCCTATGACCAGGGCACCTCTCCTGTTCTCAACTTAAACAAATAATTCCAATGTGGGTATTGTGTCTGAATAAAGTCAACTGCCTTTTCAGGTTAATTTATCCATTGAATTTTAAACATTTGAGACCAAATTTGAACAGATGGCAACTTGCACCATACATCCCACCCCAAAAGAGCAAAGCTGGTATTTTTTTCCTTATTAAAGAAACCTTTCTTATTTTTTTTTTCCTCATTCTTCTTCATTCCCTCTAGCCTTAATATAGAACTGATAACTAGTTAAAAGTGTCACTAAAATGAAGTGAGACAGAAGAATTTAACTGGTACTATTTAAGAGTATCCTCTGCAGGCATCAAAAAGAACTCATAATATTTTATAACTTTTAAATTGAGTCTTATTGAAGTACATAAATCAAAAGTAGACAGTTCTTCTTTATAAGTTAGAGATGTTTCTTTTTAAAAAAAGATAGTTATTCAACATCCTTTAATCTAGAATTTTTCTCTAGCCTTTTTTTTTCTGTCTTTTGTAACTGATATTTTTAGAGGTCAGATCAGTTGTTTTGCAAATGTCCCTCAAACTGGACTTAACTGATTGTTTCCTCAAGTTTAAAATCAAGTTAATTTTTTAACATTTTTATTTATTTATTTCACTTCACTTGAAAGGCACAGAGAGAGATCTTCCATCCACTGAAGCTGCTGGTTCACTCTCTGAACACTGGGAATACACAGAGCTGGGCCAGGCCAAATCCAGGAATCTGAAACTCAGTTTGATTCTCCCACATGGGTGGCATGGACCATGTACTTTGAGCCATCACCTCTGCTTCCCGGGGTGCAAATAAGCTGGAAAATGAATTGGAAGCCAAGGAGACAGACGTCAAAGCAGGCACTTTGATATGGGATGCGAGTGCCCCAAGCAGCTGCCAAATGTCTGCCCACGATAAAATATTTTCGCCAGAAATTTCCATAAAGGCCATATTGTGTCCTTTTAAGGGAGCACATGTGCTTTGTTCCTGTGTGATTATTTGTAAAGTAGTATCTGCTAGATTTCTCTAGTTTACCTATTTATAATAATACTCTCTACCCATGGGTAATAACTTACCCATTTATAACTAATAGTCTGAGATAATAGCACATTGTTCAACAAACTTTAGCTCAGTGATTTAATATCTGTTGATAACTCTTTCTTGAAGCAACTGCACGATGCTGGTTCTAAAATCCTTCCATTACTTTCTACATTTGATGATAGTCTTCTGTAAATAGATTTCACATCTCTCCCCTTTCGATTTATTTTTAGTATATTGGTATAAATATGGACTCATGAAATATTTCATATACTCAATGTATTATTCTCAATTTTTGTCATTGTTAGGTTCTCAGTTATCCTGTATATGTCCAATAGGGGCCTCTTTAAGCTAACTTTTGAGTCCTTTGACCCATTCATCACTTTAGTACTTCCCTAGTGTCTGAAATACGAAATGCTGCAAACTTTCTTTGTATTCTCTCTGATGCAACTCCGGAGTCCACTGTTTCCCCAAGGGGCCTTGAGTCCTTCTGAGTGAGGAGCGGTATGTACAAACCAAGATCTGGTGTGGATATTTGGCACAGTGGTTAGGATGCGGCCCAGGGCCCCCACATCCCATAGCAGAGTGCCTGACTTCAACTCCCAGATCCACTCCCCATTCCAGCTTCCCACTAATGTATAGCCTTTGGAGATCACCCATTTAGGGGGTGAACCAGCCCATAGTAGCTTGCTCACTTGCTCTCTGTCTAGCTCCCTCATCAATCAAGAAATCAATTAATAAAAATATATAAATGAAGATCTGTACAATATATTTGAATATAGCTATTAGGATGCCATTGCTTCCAATCTCTTTCAGTGGATAGAGGTAGAAGATACGCGGCTACATACTGATACCTTTAGTGCTAATCCAGTACCAATATATTCTTCTTCTCACTTCCCTGGTTCATGTTCTTATCGCTCTTCTTTACAGAAAGGAATCTGACCCACAATTTGCTTGTTTTCACTATCAATGTACATAAAGTACACTAAATAACACTTTAATTCCAATACCACTACCAAAATGAACGTACTCAGCTAAATTCTAACTATATTTGTATCTATTTTTGTTCTAAGAATATATTTAAGTATGGTATAGTCATAATATTTAAATAATATTTTTTTCGCAGCCAGACCAAATTTATTCGAAGAAAACAAACTCACAGAGGTTGATTCTGTTGTTATATTATCAAATTTATATATAGATGCCCACTTGTTTCTACCTGGAATTCATTAAAGTGTGCCTTAATTTTATTTTTGAATATGTAAAACATTTTCCTGGGGAAAAAAAGGTCACAACTATATTAAAAGGTTAACATAGAAAAGCCTCACATTCAGTCTGTTCTCACCCATCCCATCTAGGTAATCATACTCACAAATTTCTAGTTTATAGTTCCTAAATTTATTTTTTCATTTTTTTTAACAAATAAGTACATTTGTGTTTATTTCCTCTACTTTTTCTACATTTACCTTGACTGGAATCTGGAATTCACTGCACATCTGTTTCTACAGATGTTCCTCATTTTGTGTTTGGCTGCTAGTTACTCCATTGTGTGTATACGCCATGAATGGCTTATTCAATCATTGTTTAAGGGATAGATATTAGGTCATTTCTGGTTTTTTGTGCTTTAAATAACCTTAGAGCAAATAACCTTTGGTATATGCTCTTTTATATTAAAGAAAATTTCAGTGTAAATTCCTAGAAGTAGGATTTCTGGGTCAAAGAACACAGAACTATGTGGTTTTAATAAATACCACTTTGTATTATTACTAGCAACATATAAAAACAACTATTTTTCCATAGCCTTCCCAATAAAGTGCATGGGCAAACTTGTTCATCTTTATTAAGTGAAAAATATGTCAGTGCTTCTTCAAATCTGTTCTTTCATTGTAAGAGAAACTGAATATATTTCATATGTATAAATACAATTTGTAACTACTTCCCTGGGAACTCTGTGTTCATGTCGTTTGTGATGTTTTCCCTGAATGTTAAGTTCTGTTCTGTCTTTAAAGTTTCTCAAAAAGGGCTGGCATTATGGCACAGCAGGTAAAACTCCTACCTACAACTCTGGCATTCCATAAGGATGCAGGTTCAAGTCCCCACTGCTCGACTTCCCATCTAGCTCCCTGCTAATGGCCTAAGAAAAGCAGAAGGTGGCTCAAGCACTTGTGCCCCTGAAATCCATGTGGGAGACCTGGATGAAGCTTCTGGCTTCTGGCTTTGGCTTGTCCCAGCCCCAGCCATTGCGGTCATCTGAGTAGTGAACTAGAGAATACAGGATCTCTCTCTCTCTCTCTCTCTCTCTCTCTCTCTGTGTCTCTGCCTCTCTAACTTTTTGAAATAAATAAAACATTTAAAAAATTCTCCTCATATTAAGTTTTTCATATATTATGTATATATATATACATTCATATATAAATAAACATTCCTCTATCAGCAACATATTTTACAACTATTTTGTCACTGGTGCCATTCAACTGTGTCTATGGTATCTTTTGATATGCAAAACATTTTTGAGATCAAATTATATTTATCTTTTACTTCATTTGGAATTTTAACCATAGTTAGAAAAAATTCACAGTTATGTCATTATACAGGAATGCATCTTACTTATAAAATCTAAAGGTATTCATCATAATTAAAGAGGAAATAACTCATTTCCTTCTAATTTATATGATATTCATTGATATCTGTTCCATTTTGGTTTTTTTTGCCTCAAAAAGTGACATTTATTCAAAGAAAAAAAAAAGAAAAAAATGACAAGATGTCCATCCCTTGGCTCCCTCCCCTCCCCCCTCCTGCTGCTCCTCAGCCCCTGAGGACTGAACCCCAGCTGGGGCTAAGTGGCAGGACAGCCCCTCTCAGATGAGGTCAGCAACATTGAGGGGCATCTCCTCAATGGAGGTGCTGTAGAAGGTCTCGATGTCTCTGAGAGTCCGCTTATCTTCTTCTGTCACCATGTTAATAGCCACACCCTTACTGCCAAAGCGTCCACCATGGCCAATTCTGTGAATACAGTTTTCCCTGTTGGTGGGAAGGTCATAGTTGATGACTAAAGAAACTTGTTGTACATCAGTGCCTCTGGCCAGCAGATCAGTGGTAATCAGTACTCGGCTAGAGCCAGAGCGGAACTCCTTCATGATCACATCTCGCTCCTTTTGGTCCACATCTCCATGCATGGCAGAGACGGTGAAGTCCCGGGCATGCATCTTCTCAGTGAGCCAATCGACCTTCCTTTGAGTGTTGATGAAGATGACAGCCTGCGTTATGGTCAGGGTTTCGTACAAGTCACACAGTGTGTCCAGCTTCCACTCCTCGCGTTCCACGTTGATGTAGAACTGGCGGATACCCTCCAGCATCAGCTCCTCCTCCTTGACAAGAATCCGGATGGGGTTCCTCATGAACTTCTTGGTCACCTCAAGCACATCGGAAGGCACTGTAGCTGACAACAAAACCACCTGGGTGTTGCTGTTGAGCTTCTGGAAGATGTCATAGATCTGGTCCTTGAATCCACGGCTTAACATTTCATCAGCTTCGTCCAGTACAAACATCTTGATGTACATGGGAGACAGGTATCTCCGGTTAAGCATGTCGAACACGTGGCCAGGGGTGCCCACGATGATGTGCGGAGCTTCCATTTGCAGCTTCTGCACCTCAGCACACACATTGGTGCCCCCGATGCAGGTGTGACAGGACGCACCCATGTAATCTCCTAATGCCATGACCACCTTTTGTATCTGTTGGGCCAATTCCCAAGTGGGTGCTAGTACCAAGGCCTGGGTGGCCTTCAGATCCAATTCAATCTGCTGGAGAATCGATATGGCGAATATGGCCGTCTTCCCAGTCCCAGATTGGGCTTGAGCGATCACATCATAACCCTTGATACAAGGAAGAATGGCACGCTGCTGGATGGCAGAGGGCTTCTCAAAACCATAGGCATAGATGCCACGAAGGAGGGACTCAGAGAGGTTCATGTCGTCAAAGCTGTCAACGATCTCATTCCAGTTACTCTCAATGACCTATTTATTTATTTGAAAGGCAGAGTCACAGAGAGGTAGAGAAAGAGACAGAGGGAGAAAGAGAGGTCTTCCATTCACTCCCCAAATGGCTGATCCAAAGCCAGGAGCCAGGAGCTTCTTCCAGGTCTCCCATGTGGGTGCAGGGGCCCAAGGACCTGGGCCATCTTCCACTGCTTTCCCAGGCCACAGCAGAGAGCTGGATCAGAAGTGGAGCAGACTCGAACTGGCACCCATAGGGGATGCCAGCACTGCAAGCGACAGTTTTACCTGCCATACCACAGCACCAGCCACTACTCCACTTGGATCCATGTCCTTGCTAACATCCTGGGAAAAGCAGAGGAAGAGGGCATAAATGTTTAGGCACCTGCTACCCACATGAGAGATGCAGAAGCTCCTGGCTTCAGCCTGGCCCAGTGCTGGCTATTATGGCCACCCGGGGAGTAAATCAGCAGATGGAAGATTTATCTCTCTCTTTGCCTCCCCCTCTCTTTCTAACTAACTTTCAAAATCTCTCCAGATCAGATTTCCAAGGGTTACTGCCTACAAAATTCATGTACTGTAATTGAGAAAGCAAAGGAGATCATCTTTATACTCTGAATGAGAACTTACTTGTTTGTTTTTTAAGGTCCTTTTCAGATAATTTCAATGCCAACATAAAATACTGTTAGTCCATTATAGTAGAGGCATTAAAATAAGTAACTAGTTCTTTAGAGAAGTAGGGACTACTTGTTATATTGCCACATGTTTGAAAGATAATTTTATATATAGTTAATTCTGTATAGATAACCATAAAAATAATACCTCCAGTTAATGGATATTAGTAAAAGAATCATGGCTCTAAACAATAAATTTTCACTTTAAAGAAAATTAGAAATTTTCACCAAGTAAAATGTTTTACTATCTCACTACCAATCAAATTTATTTCATTTTATTATTCCCCTGCCCAGCCTATGTATCTGGCAGTTATGCCAGATCTTCATAAAGTTCATGAAAAATGACTATTATGAAAACACTGATTGGCTCTCAAAAATTTTTGCACCAAAAGAAGCATGTTTTAATTCTACTTTCTAAAACATTCTTAAAATATCATTTTATTTCACAAAGAATAATGAATAAAAAAAGCTCTATTTTGAGAGTCAGAAAACCTTAAAATATAACCTTGTGCATCATTCTCTCTTCTTGAGCAAACTACTTTAATTTTCTGAATCTCTTTGTATTTGAAGAGAAGGAGAAAAAAAAAATGGTTCATACCTGCGCCTATGGCAAGCATGGAGAAGAACAGATATAGAAAGAAAGCTACAAGCAAGATCAGGAGTACAGCCAGGAGCAGGGAAATGGAACCAGACTTAAGGAAAATATGCACATTTCTTTGGAGAAATGTCTATTATTCATTTTAAAATCAGATTATTTGGTTGTTTTACTACTGAGTTACAGCTCATATACATACATATATATGTGTGTATATATATGTATATATTAGACATTAGCTCCTTCTCACATATATGGCTTGTCATGTTTTTTCTCATGCTAAATGTTACCTTTCCATTTTGATTGGTTTCATTTATGTGCAAAATCTTTCTGGTTTGATATCGTCCCACTTACCTATTTTTGCTTTTGTTTCCTATGCTTTTGGTATCATATCCAAGACAACAATGCTAAGACCAATTTCAAGAAGCTTTTCCTCTATGTTTTCTTCCAAGAGTTTTACAGTTTCAGGTATGACATATAAGTCATTAATCAATTCTAAGCTGATTTTTGTATATGGTGTAAGACAGGAGGTCAAATTTCACTGATCTGCATACAGTGTCTTTTTATTAAGATTATTTAATTGAAAGGCAGGACAACAGAGAAAGTGAGACACATGAGAGAGAGAGAGAGAGAGAGAGAGAGAGAGGGAGAGAGAGAGAGAGGAGAGAGAGAATCTATCTTCCATCTGCTGGTTCACTAGCTAAATGATGCAACAGCTGGGACTGGGCAAAGCTTAAACCAGGAGCCAGGAATTCATCAGGGTCTCCTTGATCCAAGCACTTGGGCTATCATCCGCTGCATTCCACATGTATCAACAGGAAGCTGGAGCAAAATGGGGTAGCCAAGACTTGAGCCATGCACTCTGATATGGGATGTGGGACGTGGGCATCCCAAGCTATGGCTTAGACTGTTGTGCCCCAACTCTTGCCTCCCACCAGCACTTGTTGAAGAGACGATTATCCTTCAAAGTGTTTGGCCAGAAGATACATGAAAAGGTGCTCAACATCATTAATTATCAGTGAAATGAAAATCAAAACCACAATAAACTACCTGTCAGGATGAGTATTACAAAAAAAAAAAAAAAGATACCAAGAGTTGGTGAAGATGTGGAGAAAAATGAACCCTTATAAACTGCTGGTGAGAATGTAAAACAATGCAGCTGCTATGGAGAGCAGTATGAAGGTACCTCAAAAAGTTAAGAACTTAGGGGCTAGAATGGTGGTATAGTGGGTAGTCACCACCTGAGTTGCCGGCATCGCACATGGGCACTGGTTCGTGTCTTGGCTGCTCCACTTCCGATCCAGTTCTCTGCTAATGTGCCTGGGAAAGCAGTGGAAGATGGCCCGAATGTTTGGGCCCCTGTGCCTACATGGGACATGCAGAAGAAGCTCCTTGCTCCTGGCCTCAGCCTGGCCCAGCTCTGGCCATTGTGTCCATTTAGGGAATAAACCAATGGACATAAGATTTCTCTCTCTCTCTCTCTCTCTGTAATTCTGACTTTCAAATAAATAAATCTTTTATAAAAAAGTTAAAAACTGGGCTACAAAATGATTCAGCAACTCCACTTGGGGTATGTATACAAAATAACTGAAATCAGAATCTTAAAGAGGGAGCTTTATTCTTACGTTCACTGCAGCATTATTCACAACAGCCAAGATACTGTGACAACACAAATGCCTATCGATAAATCAACAGATAAAGAAAATGTAGTATTTTCATACAATGGAATATCACTCAGCCTAAAAAGAAGGAACTCTTGCCACTTGTAACAAGATGATTCAACCTGAAGGACATTTTGCTAAGTGAAATAAGCCAGTCACACAAGGACAAATATTTTGTTTAAATATAAGAAAAATCCTGGCCTTGGATATATTAACACTCTTGTGAGATTGACACAAAACAGATGAGTCCTGCAATGCAAAGTAGACAACAAACTGGGAACACTGGACCCAAGGGCAAGATGAGAACTGAACTTAGAAATTTTGTCAGTGCAGGTTTGGCACCCAGCAAACTGGTAGGCTTCCAAGTCAATTAGACTTCAGGGAATTTAGAAGGCAGATAGCAAACTAGAGCCAAGTTCCAACTCAGGGTGTTTAAATCAAAACCACTGTGCTCATTTGCACCATCAGAATAGGAAAAAAGCCAAAGATGGAGACAGCAAAAACTAAATCAAGAATGACTTCAGGCAAACAACCACCATGTGATAAGGATAACCAACAGTAGAGTTGGAAACATACCAGGGGATTCCAATTCAATCCCATCAAGGTGGCATGTGCCAATGCCATCTCACTATTCCAAGTGATCAATTTCAGTTCACAATTGATCATAATGAAAGGACTAAGAGTCAAAGGGAGCACATAAACAAGTCTAGTATCTGCTAACACCAACCGATAGAATAAATAAAGGGGAGAGTGATCCAACATGGGAAGTGAGATACTCAGCAGACTCATAGAATGGCGGATGTCCTAAATAGCACTCTGGCCTCAGAATCAGCCCTAAAGGCACTCGGATCTGGCTGAAAAGCCCATGAGAGTATTTCAGGCATGGAAAGCCAAGACACTCTGGCAAAAAGATCTCTGTGAGTGAGATCCCAGTGGAAAGAACAGGTCTTCAAAGAGGGAGATGCCTTTCTCTGAAGGGAGGAGAGAACCTCCACTTTGACTATGACCGTGTCTAAACAAGATAAGAGTCGGAGAACTCAAGGGGCTTCCATAGCCTTGGAAACTCATAACTGGTGCATAGGGAGATTACTGATGCCATAAACAGGAGTGTCAATTTGTAAAGTCAACAACAGGAGTCACTGTGCACTTACTCCTCATGTAGGATCTCTGTCCTTAACGTGCTGTACACTGAGGCTTAATGCTATAACAAGTACTCAAACAGTATATTTCACTTTGTGTTTCTATGGGGGTGCAAACGATTGAAATCTTTACTTAATGTACCCTAAACTGATCTTCTGTAAAAAAAAAAAAAAAAAAAAAAAAAGAAATTATCAATTCCCAACTTGACTCTCACTGGGATTAAACATGACAATAGGTCTGATCTGATTTCATCATCATTTAAAAAAAATCATCTATTATTTTTCACTTTATGTTTCTGTGTGGGAGCAAACTGTTGAAATACTTACTTAAGGTATACTAAGCTGATCTTCTGTATATTAAGAGAATCGAAAATGAATCTTGATGTGAATGGAAGGGGAGAGGGAGTGGGAAAGGGGAGGGTTGTGGGTGGGAGGGACGGTATGGGGGGGAAGCCATTGTAACACATGAGTCGTACTTTGGAAATTTATATTCATTAAATAAAAGATAAAAAAAAAGGATAACCAACAGAAGGAGAAAGAGAAAGAGAAAGAAAGAGAGAGAGAGAGAGAGATAATACTGAGGAAAGGAAGCAAAAAGGACTGAGATAAATATTTTTACTCCAGCATCAAATAATAAAAATTAAGAAAAATAACTTGGTCATAGACAAGTAATATCAAGATGATATATTGGGGAAAATGCTGGCTCATCACTTTCATGCTGAAGAAAATAGATACTTGCCAATTTGTGGTTTGGTGGAGTCAAAAAATTATCCACAAAAGATTTGATTAATCAGATGAAATTAAAGGAAAGGAAGTGAGTTTTCTGCAAATGTATTGCAGAATAAATTTATTTAATGGAATTTATTTATACTTTATATTATGTTTGGTTACTGGTAGATCTGTAATTTTATAGAAATCTCCTGATTTTGCTAAAAATAATTAAGGCAAAAATGCTGTCCCAATCATGTTTTCTACATTGCTATAACCATAAAATAATTATAAAACTCTATTGTAATTACACAGCATCTAAATTATCTTTTTAGAAATTCACCAATTAAGCTTCATATGTTTTTGAAATATTCAATTTTTGTTGGTCAAACAAATTTCATGCAAGATCTCTAAAGGTCTTTTTTCAAGAAAATAATTATGTTTTCATACTCATTGCAATGTTTATGTGTTTGTTTCTACAGATCAATTCCAAATATTTATAGCAAGTATTTTCTTTCACTGAAATTCATTTTTGCCACATAAAATGATCAATCAAAATAGTGGAAAAAATATCCAAGAGGAAAGAGCAATTAAATTAATTTATGTTCTTTTCAAGTTTAAACTTTCACTCTCATTTTTTTGCTTTTTTCACCGTCAGATCAGTAAAAAGATGAGAGCAGCAGCAAATGACCAACTTAAGTGTTCTGGACCCTCCCAATTACCTGGCAAATCACTTAAGAAAGAAAAGACAAATAATAAAATGTTCCTCTTCTATATCTAAAATAGGCATAACCACAGAAAAAGCAGAGCAGAACAGTGGTTACCAGGGCCTGGGGGAGAGGGAATTAGGACCTGTTGTTCAGCAGTGGAAAGTTTCAGTGATATAGGATGAATATGTTCTAGAGGTCTGTTGTAGGTCACAGTGCTGCAGCTAACAAAATGATATCATGCACTTAAAATTTTCTTAAGGAAGCAGACTTCTTGTTAACTGTTCCTACATACACAGAAGAATAAAAAAAGAAGCACAGGGAAAAGTTCAGAAGTCATGATTAGATAGATAGATAGAAAAAACTTGGTTGTGACAGAGTCACGTAAATGTTTATGTCCAAGATCATTAAATTGCCTATTTTAGGGGCGGGTAACATGGCACAGTGTGTTAAACTCCCACCTGTGCCACCACCATTCCATGTGGGCGCCTGCTAGAGTCCTAGCTACTCCACTTCTGAAGGGATGGCCCAGGTGCTTGTACCACTGGCACCCAGGTAAGAGACCCAGTTGGACTTTGAGACTCCTTGCTTCCAACTGTCCCAGCCACAGGCATTGTGGCCATTTAGGGAGTGAACCAGTGGATGGAAAAAAATCTCTCTCTCTCTCTCTCTCTCTCTCTCTCACACACACACACACACATACACACACACAAATACATACCCTCCTTCAAATAAACAAATCAATCTTTAAATAAATATGTAAATCAATAAATATCCATAGCTTATGGCATTAAAAATATCTCTATGCAAGGGATGGCATTTTCTATCTTACGCATCTCAAAATATGAAGAAGACTAAAATGTGCATAGCTCAAAAAGCACTTGACATAGGCTAGATGCTATAGAAATGCTGATTCTCTATCAACATTTACCTCCTTTTGCTTCATGAATAAATTGTAACAAATTATTTTTGTTATCACCTGCCTTGATAAGCCAAAAAATTATTTAAGTACAAACAGGAAGATGAGGCAAGAAAAGGCAATCCTAGTTTGTCATTACAGTACGCCCCCCCCCACACACACACACATACACACTTTCTATACAGCAGTTAAGGCTCATGAAACAGAATAATTAGGAGAAGGTGAAATTGGAGCAGAATGAAAGAGTGGTGATTTCTGACAATGGGGAACACTACTGATGTTAACAGACACTAAAGAAGAGCAGCACAGATCACTCATGAGAGGGCTACTGTCTGACTTGATCATGAAGCTATGTCCTTGTTCCTGTCCCAGACCCTCTTACCAAGGATAAAGTCTCAATGGATACTGCTCTAAACTTAAGAAGACCCCTCCATTATTCAGAAATTGGCAATATACATTTAGGTTATTATAAGTGTTTTCTGAATTAAGTGGTAGATTTAATCAAGAGAACACTTTTAAACTTATCTAGTTTTAAGCAGTAAGAGAATAATTCCCAGTATCATTCAGACAGACACATGTCTCAGGTATGCGGGGACATGGTGAAATACAATGGCCAGGATTCTGCTTCCAACTCTGCCTGCCCAGTCTATTTAAGACGCACAGCATCGTCAGTTTGCAGTTGTATAAGCACTATCAGAACTAGTGCACCCAGAACACTTGTGTTCTGAGATCCTGAGATGTCAGAGTGACATCTGGTGGACACAGCCCCAACATATCAAGCAAAACTATAAATTTCTACCTGGCTCCCATTTCCTTAAGTTTTTGAAAGAGTTGAAAATTTGAAAAGGAAGCTGAGCCTCAACTGAGCAGAAAACACAATGGTTAATGCCAAATGCAAGCTACTCAAGCTGAATCCTCATAATCTAGAAACTGCACAAGTACCATTAATGCGCATTCTCAAGGAGGGCATGATTGTGCATGAAAAGAATTTGCTTTGTATTAGTAAAGAACACTTTTTAAAAGCAGACCTAATTTTGACTTTCACACAGAGATAAAACGAACATGTGTCGATATTCTGTTTAACTCTTTAATTATCAATATATAAGGAAGACACTGGAATGCACAAAATAAAATGCATGCTCTGTCCATGAAACTGCCAACTCGTAGTGGGACTGGTAAGAGTATAAGCTGCAAGGTGGAAGTTGAATGGGAGGTCTGTATGCAGAATGACTGCAGTCCAGTCATGGAAAACAGTATCTAAAATCAACACAGAGGGGCTGGTACTGTAGCGCAGCAGGTTAAAACCCTGGCCTGAAGCGCTAGCATCCCATATGGGTGCCAGTTCTATTCCTGGCTGCTCCTCTTCTGATCCAGCTCTCTGCTATGGCCTGGGAAAGCAGTAGAAGCTGACCAAGTCCTTGGGCCTCCTGCTCCCATGTGGGAGACCTTGAAGAAGTTCCTGGCTCCTGGCTTTGGATCAGCACAGCTCTGGTTGTTGCTGCCATCTGGGGAGTGAACCAGTGGATGGAAGACCCCCCTGCCCCACCTCTGCCTTTGTGTAACTCTGTCTTTCAAATAAATAAATCTTTAAAAAAAAGCAGTAAAGAAAATAAGAAGCCATCAAAATGTTAAGAAGAGTGACATAATATAATTTAACACTGCAGAAATCAAACCTCCACTCATACGGAGAACGGATTGGAACTTGGAGAAAGACAAAGGCAAGATCCAGGTTAAGAGGCTGGCAGAGCAGTCCAGGCGGGGAAAGGAAGTTGTAAGGTCAGCAGCAGCTTGGGTAGGAGTGAGGAGACAACTTTGAGAGAGAGAGAGAGAGAGCTACAGGAGCTGGCTATCTTCACAAGTCTGGAAGGACAGTCGGAACCACACGTGCCCTTCTGTTCTGTCTGCAAACTCCAAGTGCCACCTGGACCAGCAGGCCTTCCCTCCTCTCATGTCTCTCCAAAGTGTTCCTGGGTGTTTGCAAAGGGTTGTAGCACATACGTTTGCAGAACAACAGCAGCAACACAAAGCTGAAGCTACCGTTTGCCAGCAGAATCTTCTTCAGAACTTCTATCTCCAAGAGCTGCCGCCACTCCTGGCCCCATGTGTACAGCAGAAACTCAGCCACCTTTTGCACAGCGGGAAGCAGTGTCCTCCCTCGAGCCCCCTCTCCCATGTCATTGCAGAGTGTCCAAAGCAAGGTACATGCAGCAACTGTATGCTAGGGGGTGCAGTGAGAAGAGTTCTTAGGACTCAGACAACCCACTGTTCCTCGGGGCCACACTTGCAACCAGGACAGCTGCACTAAATGGGCCCGCCAATCAGTCAGCGGTGTGAACCCTGCAGCACCCTCACCCTCAGTCCCTGCTGCCGAGCCTGAAGGTCCGTGCTAGACTGCTTCTCTCTGCCTAGACACAGTTCTCTCTGCACAGACTTTCCCCTTGCCTGAAACCCAGCTCCCCCTCTGGCCGTCCTGAACTCCGGATGAGTAGAGAGTTCATGCTTTTCATCCATCCAAGACCCCAGTGCTTATGCGGATCAGAACCAGCAGAGGTCAAGGAGATACGGTGAGAGGGAAAACTATGGTAGACTCTACTTCTAATGCACAGTTTAGAAAAAGGCATCACTGACGGATCAAATGCAGAATGTGAAGGAAAGAAAATAACCAAAAGGACTCCAAGATAAACAACATGGGTAACCAAGGGTTCTTTTTGCAAGAAAATGGAGCATACTGGTGAGGAAATTGGTTCTTGGATTAAGAGACAGTCTTACACTTGTACATGCATTATCAAAAGTAACATATCGGGCCCGGCGCCATGGCACAGTAGGTTAATCATCTGCCTGAGGCACCTGCATCCCATATGGGTGCTGGTTCTAGTCCCAGCTGCTCCTCTTCCAGTCCAGCTCTCTGCTATGGCCTGGGAAAGCAGTGGAGGATGGCCCAAGTCCTTGGGCCCCTGCATCCACATGGGAGACCAGGAAGAAGCTACTGGCTCCTGGCTTCGGATCAGTGAAGCTCTGGTTGTTTTGGCCATTTGAGGAGTGAACCAATGGAAGGAAGACCTTTCTCTCTGTCTCTCTCTCTCACTGTCTGTAACTCTACCTCTCAAATAAATAAGTAAAATCTTTTTTTTAAGTAACATACCTATAATTAAAGGAAGGTTACCTCTTTTTGTCTTGTTTGGATCTTAAGACATCATCTTACCTACCATCTTTTAGAATGCCTCATGGTTTCACGGAACCTGTGGAACATTCAGATGGAGGTATCCAAAAGCTAAAATGTCCTTCTGCTATGATGTAAATCAATGCCACCTGGGAAACTTTTCAAATAACGTCTGGATAATTTGTTTTTGGAACCAGATTCATCTCTTTAAAATTCTTGTGAAGCCCTCTTAAAATTTACCAAAATAGCAACAGTGGTTGTCACGGGGAGAAGGTGCTTCTGGCAAGATTTCTTAGTTGGAAGCACTAAAAAAAAAATTCTGGTTGTTTTAAACATAAAACAGTTGTCTTTTAAAAAAATATATTTTCCACAGTTCACAGACTCTTAAGGCTGCTGTGTGTAGAGGGCGCACAAAAGGCTAACAGGAAACCAGCTCCTAGAAACTCAGTGGACTCCAGGTCCCCAGTGAGCTGGGCTGTGGCCACCACCCTTCATTTCTGCGCCTGATGGCTGTCACATCAGGAGGCGGAGGGGGCTGTCACTCCCTGGGACTGCCTCCTGCCTGTGCAGCTTCTTTCCCGCCCCTGCTTTCCTGGAGTCTCAGACCCAAGCCTTGGGATGTAGCCTCAGTCATGTGTCCACACCCCAGGTGCAAGGGGAGGTAGGAAAAACAGGCTTTTCCACACATACAGGGAAGGAAGTTTGGATGTCCTGTAGCCAAAAGTGGTGAAAAATATTTACAACAGTGGTATTTGAGGTGATGTTTTCCTCCTTCTTGATGCTTCTCCCTAGCTGCCACTTTTTTTTTTTTTTTCTACAATGAATAGTGTTAAACCATCATGAAAAAAATGTTAAGCAACACTGGAGTTTCTTTTTCAGGGCTTTTAAACAGAAAAGAACCGGTATCGCTTCTCCCTCTAGTGGTGAAAAAGAGGAAATACTCAGGTGCTTTTTTGTCTTCAGATCTGTGAGGACTAATCCTGTTAGAGAATATATAAACACTTCGGTTTCTCTTTTAAAGCGTTATCTTTTATTTACTTGAAAGGCAGAGCTACAGAAAAACAGGAAACCAGGAGCAATACTCAAATGTCCACGTGTCTCCTCCAAAGCAGCTCAGGCAAGCGCCCCACTGCACCTTGCATTGTCTAAAAGCTCCCACAGCCTGGTAACAGATATCAGCGTACAGCTCCTAGAAACTCAGTGGACTCCAGGTCTGGAGAGGGGAGAGAGAGAGAGAGCCTTCATCCACTGATTCACTCCCCAAATGGCTTCAACGACAGGGGCTGAACCAGGCTGAAATTAGGAGCCTAGAGTACTTCGGAGTCTCCAACATGGGTGCAAGGGCCCAAGTGCTTAGGCCATCTTCCACTGCTTTTTCAGGTGCATTAGCAGGGAGCTAGATCAGGAGTGGGGCTGCCAGAAATCAAACTGCTGGCCATATGTAATGCTGGCATTACAAGTAGAGGCTTAATCTGCTACACCACAGAGCCAGCCTGAACCACTCCATTTTATACATGAATAAACTGGAGCTGAAAGTCTGAAATGCTATACAAATTTAATGGTAGAGCCATCCCCACAATCAGGATATCTGGATTGAGGTGTCTATATTGGTTATTCCTACAGCCTTTTTTTTTTTTTTTTTTTTTTTTTTTTTGGACAGGCAGTTAGACAGAGAGAGACAGAGAGAAAGGTCTGCCTTTTCCTTTGGTTCACTCCCCAAATGGCCGCTACGGCCGGCGTGCTGAGCCGATCCGAAGCCAGGATCCAGGTGCTTCCTCCTGGTCTCCCATGCGGGTGCAGGGCCCAAGCACTTGGGCCATCCTCCACTTGCCTTCCTGGGCCACAGCAGAGAGCTGGACTGGAAGAGGAGCAACCGGGACAGAATCCAGTCTGGCACCCCAACCGGGACTAGAACCCAGGGTGCCAGTGCCACAGGCGAAGGATTAGCCAAGTGAGCCATGGTGCCGGCCCTACAGCCTATTCAGACACTCTTTATGGCATGGTCTGAGAGACATACCAAACCCCTGTGTCTATCCTTTGTGCTTCTTTTCAAATAGCACAGAAGAATAAGCCAGGCTAAACACAATCACCTGCATTAAACAATTAGCATCAGTGTTTCATCTTCAGTGAAAAGAAAGAGGGGAAGCATAGTCCAGAGGTTGAGTACAAACTTTGGAACAAAACTTCTGCATGTGAATCCCTGTCCTCCCTTTTGCCAGCTGCCTGGCTTCTGGCAAGTAATTTAACTCCTCTGTATTTCAGCTTTTCTGTTGGCAAATAAATAAACAACAGTGGTTTCCATGGAGGTTTTTTTTTACAAGGAATGAATGAGTGGGGTCGGCGCTGTGGTGTAGCAGGTAAAGCCATCACCTGCAGTGTGGTATCCCATATGGGCGCCGGTTTGAGTCTCAGCTGCTCCATTTCCGATCCAGCTCTCTGCTGTGGCCTGGGAAAACAGTAGAAGATGGCCCAGGTCCTTGAGCCCCTGCACCCACGTGGGAGACCTGGAAGAAGCTCCTGGCTCCTGGCTTTGGATCAGCCATTTGGGGAGTGAACAGAAGACTTTTCTGTCTCTCCGTCTCTTTCTCTACCTCTCTGTGACTCTGCCTTTCAAATAAATAAATATTTTTTTAAAAAAGGAATAAATGAGTATTTCTAAAGAATGTAGAATAGTACCTGGTACTTAAGAAACACTAAACAAATGCTCCTGGAATAAAATAAGCAAGGGAGAAGGCATAGGTCCTTATCTTACACTAGACCACACTTTGCTGAACCTCCAAAAAGAGTTCACTGACTGGCTTGTCTATCTGTTAATATTGGAGTAGCTACCTCTGCAGTGGCAAGAAAACTTTTTTCAGCCAAGGGCCATTTGAATATTAACGTCATTCATGGATCATACAAGATTGTCAACTTAAAAAGTAGCTTGCCATGGATTTTTTGAGTTTTAAGTCCTGCCTGTGGTTGCCTTGGCAGAGCCAATCCAAATGATTCTGTGGGTCTTAGAAGGCCCACAGGCTGGATGTTCCCCACTCCTGAAAAGTTTTAAAATCTGATCAAGATATCTAAAGAGAAAATTCATCTCGAGGCCCTGGAGAACAACTAGGAACTGGTAGAAACTGGAGGGAGTTCTGTGCAAAAACAGGAATGCCATCAGGTCAGACTGGGGAATTTATGGCCTCTTGCCTGGAGACAGCCTTCAATCTTTTGAGACCATCAGGGCAGCAGAACACCGCATCTCAGGCCTAAGAGGCCGCACTTCAGCCAGAAAGCTTGCAAGGCAAGAAGTCCTGCAGGGGATGCATCTCAAAACAGGTCACCAGTGTTGGCCTGAAATGTTAGCCGGACACACTCAACTAACGCACACAGGGTAGACCCAGAGCAACAGTAAAAGACAGCACTGAGGGAACTGTTAGCTACTCACTACAGGACTTCAGTTCAAAGCCCGAGCCCAGCCACATCAACGTGGAACAGAATCAAAGTCACTCTTCCTATGTCTCCCACAGAGCACTCATACTAGCAGGTGTCCATGCACACTCAACACACATGCAAACAAGCAAGCAGGTGGCTTTTGCTCAAGAACAGAGGAAGTAAGGTATAACCATCTCAAGATGAGAAAGATGGTATAATTAGCAGAAAAGCTAATTAAAGGGAAAAATTCAACAGATGTAGACAAAAGGAAATACTAAGCCAAAATGATTCTTCTTGACTGTGCCAGCCTCTGAGACTGTACCATAGGATTCCTCTCTATTACAGTTTGTTTGATATTTTTATCACTATAAGACTAGGGTTGGGGGAAAAATAACAGTGCCATTTTCATTCTACCACATCAACGATACACACTATTAACATAATGTATTACTGTGGATGGTGACCATGATGACCTAACTAAAATGGGGTGTGAAAAGTTACCACTTTTTCTTCCTTTTCACACTATATTCTTTGGAGGGAAGTCACTATACATGCTGCACACTCAAGGAATATGGGCTTATGTTCCACTTCATTGAATGGGGGAA